TCTTTATGGCACAAAAAAATAACATTTCTTCATTTCATAATAAAACATAAGACTTTCCTTCTCCAAGCCTTCCCTTTTGTCGCGGAGAACCTAACGGGTTACCAGGGCTCCGGCTCGACGTGCAAGAGAAGGAACGAGGTGGTTTTTAGTCAGTTAGAGTCTGACACTCCCTCCCACTTCACCCAGGCGGGAGCAGTCATTAAATAAAAAATTTCTCCCATTAAAAAAACCTCTTTTACATCATACCTAATATTCTTTTAAATTGTAATAATAACTTGGACTATTCTAAAGTATTGTCTCAGGCCAGTGGCAGAGCGCCCCAGGCGGCCCACAGACTATATATCACACTTGTAAAGTTTATTTAACAAAACTACTATGATAAAGTGGAACAGTTGCCGACAGCTCTTACCGGTTAACTAATAAAGTTAACACAGATTTACTATATATTTATTTAAACTCCATTGCATTGGAATGTTTGAAAATATTTTGTTTTATATATTAAGTTTAAATATTTTTTTTTTTTTGATTTGATTTGGACGGGATGGTTTTTCGTTAATTTGTAGTGAGGGTATCCATTTTTATTCTGGGTTTTAGACAAAATGTATCTGTTGTAGATTTATGATAATGGATCTGTTATAGCATTACAATTAGCCTATGACAAACTACTAGGTACTAATTTTAATGAAATCAACTGCACGAGGCTTGCTTTATTCGCTCGGTGGTATGAAAACGAATACATTCACCGTCTGTAATAAAAATATTAATAGGTACTAACAAAATGTAGGTACCTATAGAAATACTACTATTTCTATCACATGAGTAATTCTTGTATTAAAATCTTTTAACAAAATAACACCAGAAATTCATACCCGAAATTCTACAACGGCAGACTTGGTTAAAGTTGTGTGTGTCCTACATATCTGTATAATTACATTCCCGCGTGCTATGTGAGTCCAGTACCATAAGTAATTCAGTTATATACCGCAATACCGCTTGTACCGCACACTTTAGGCACATCACCGACTGTGGTACTTACTCAGACCACATCTAGCGGTTGCTATGTACTACGTTGATATTATTTTGTAAGAAATACGTAATATATGAGCGCATGACGCATAATTTTCTGTCTATTTTTTCGGAAAAAGAAACTTACATGCAATATTATTATTATCCAAACGAGCGTCCAAATGCAAAGTCCAAACAAAGAAAAAAAATTCTAAAACCAAATGGAAATAATGCTAGAAAAAAATCATTACGCAAAAATGAAACCTCATTCTTATCTAAAAAAAATACAAACACACTGGCCACTTTTCACGAAAAAACATAAAATGCCATAAAAATATTTTTTGTTTTATTTTTCTTCTGGTAATTTTATAGCTACTTCTTTGAATTTTTAGCTAGAATGGCCAGTACGTGACACCTATTAAAAAATTAATACTTAAATACAACCTTTTTACAATAAATTCGCAGAAAGCAGTAGGTAGTTGTTGATTTATTGTCTGTAGTTCAATAATAGTTACAATCCATTTCCCGCGCAACGCCTTTTCTATTAATAATGGAAATGATTGTCAACTTTTAACATTTGTAAAAAGCCCTACAAAATGTTACAAACTAAGTCGGCTATTCAATGCCGATGATAAATTGCGGCAGGCCGCATTATAATCCGGTGTAAGAAAGTAAATTACGGCTAAGTGACGTAGGTGGAAGCGCGGGAAAAGTTGGCTCCTTCATTAGTCGTGTTCTGATGCCTGTATGGCTAACGACGGCATTGCATGTCTATTTACCGAGCATAGGAAGTACAGGTTACGACACAAACAAGTATTTTCGTGGAAACAATCGTTTATTACAGTGAATGGTAGGGAAACAATTAAATACTCGCATGGTTTAGCTAACTGAAATGTAGCTTTGATGTATTGGTGCATTTATTACTTGTTATTGTTCATAATAATGCGCTCGTGGTTTTATTTTTACCGTTAGTTCTTTGCTTTGAAATCATTATACGTAATTGATTGGATATTTTGAATTCGAAATATTTCGTAGGTACCAGGTTTTTGGTACCTAATATGAAAGAGAAGGAAATTGAGATAGAATGACCTTTAATAGAATAGCATACAAAATGAAAAAGACATATAGCATAGACCTCACACAATCTTCTAATTTATACGTAATATATAAAGCTGAAGAATTTGTTTGTTTATTTATTTGAACGCACTATTCTCCGGAACTCCTGGTCTGAATTAAATGTTTGTGTCGGATAGGCATTATTTATCGAGAATATAAAACATCACGCTTTCATTAATAGGAGCCGAGTAGTGATGATTAGACCGCGCCAGAGTCGTTTTTTTAAAATAAGGTCATGCTAATAATGACGATTCCAACCACGTGCTCGCTACACAGTATATCAAGTTAGATAACACTTCGCAACTCATAAATACTCGAGTGATTATAACATCTCGACTTACTATGCTAATTAACCTGTAGAATATAATGCCATATGGTTCCGTATGTAGAGGGGTCGAAGGCGAACCCTTCGAGTTCCTCAACGGTTAAGGGATTATAAAGGCAGGTTGGTATAAGCTACGTACGTTAGGTGTAACAATATTTGGAACTAGTTTCTTACTTGGTCGATTAGTTTTAATTAAATTAGGAAGAAAATTTTTGTTTTTTTTTTATTTATTTATTTAATGATTTATATACCTACACATAAACAGCACAGACGATAACACATATATAAAATAAAAGTACATAGGTGCTAGTTATTCCTGTTGGAATTTCTTCCAGTAGACCTGAGTCCTGAGACTTGAGAGTACAATCATTATGTGTAAGTCAAGGATACACTAGGGAGCAAATGTAGCACAACATGTATCGGTGTCATGTCAAGCCATACCGGCTGATTTAACCTGACATATTAATATAAGGCGACGACGAGCGGCTCATGTCCACTGTGCCGTTGATGTTGCCAGACATATGGATCAAAGTAGGCTCGTACACAAAACTGCGATGCGAATTGCTAGCCCTACAACAACGTTGCACAACTTCACCCGACGTCGCTGGCGACACGTGTTGTAGGACATTTCCCCTAGTGTATCCATGCTTTAACGTCAACAATTTGTGCCAGACTAAATTGATTCTCCTCTGTACTGTCAGAGGGCTTTTTATTATATCCAGGCATGGTAGGCAGGTTGGATGTCGCAGAAATGCTTAATATGTGCAAATGGAGAGTAAAATCCAGATATGGAAGTAGCAAAACACTTGTAATAAATAAATGTAAACAATGATAAAAAAAAATATTTTTCACAGAAGACCTTTCTGTGTTCTGTAATTTTTCCCTATCTCCTGTTTTTTGCCTTTAAAGAGGTCAACGACCTACTTTAATGTAAGATATTAAAACAGTTAAATAAACTTAGAGAAAAGAGAACACAAAACAAAAACCCAACGCGTAATTTCTAACATGGCGCCTTCAATCTTTAATTTTTCTTTTTGAAAGTATTAATCATTATGTCACTTGTAATGATATTCTTGGAGCAACGACACGCGAAGCCTTATAATTTATTTTAACAAAGTTTGTTAACAAAATATTGAAAATGTAATAATACATAATACATACAAACAACTCGAAGGATATTGTGGTTGACCTCTGCGGAACTTCGTAAACTGAAAAGTTTTATGAACGTCATAAGTTGAATCGTTTCCTCCATAACTCAGTCTAGATTATTTTCTTCAATAAATACTTATTTCTTGACAAAAACTATTCTACTAACTTGGGCAACTAAATACGCTGTTATAAATCACCAATTTGGCCTAGAAAATGATATACGTAATAAATATCTAAATACGACTATATGACGAAATAAAACTTTAGAAGGGATGAATCGAGGGAAAATTGGGAGATGGTTTGACTAACATAATCACTACTAGATACTCATACATCTCTATTAAAAAACTAATAACAAACAAAAAGTCAAAACTAAAAAGCAAAAAATAACCATTATTAGTACTGATAGGTTACCCACCCACTATTTGGTATTATGGCACCGACTTCTAACCTATCAGTTTTTGGTTTTTTGAAGTCGGTTTTTTAAACGCAGTTTTTATTTTATTATTTTATCATTTTCAGTGTAAAGCTACATATACCCGTTTTGTTACTTATAATCTACATAGGTGCAAATTTCTAATCAATACTAATTATACAAGCCCAAACACAAGGTAGTTACAGTATACCGTTGAGGAGTTCCCTTAACAATTACACTTCTTCATCATCAGACCCTTAATGACAGCCCCACTCTTTCTAGGTGTAAAGTCCTCATCAATACAAATTAATCAAGCCTAAACACAAGGTGGTTACTGTGTACCGTTGAGGAGTTCCCTTAACAATTACACATCCTTATCATCAGACCCTTAATGACAGCCCTACTCTATCTAGCTGTAAAGTCCTCATCAATACAAATTAATCAAGCCCAAACACAAGGTAGTTACTGTATATCGTTGAGGAGTTCCCTCGACTGTCTGTCGGCTCCATCATCAGGTCGACTCCAGACCCTTACCAAATTGTAGTGTTTAAAAATCCTAATTTAAAAACATAATAGACGTATAACTCGCCCATAGAATTTTCGAAAGTTCCCCTCGGTTTCCCTAGGATCCCATCATCAGATCCTGATCTCATGGAAATGGGACTATCTCGGGAGTATACCCTTTCAAACAAAATAAGAATTATGGAAATCGGTTCACAAATGGCGGTATACTGCGCGAACAAACAAAAAAAAAACAATCAGCCGAACATAGTACCTCCTCCTTTTTTTGAAGTAGTTTTCATAAAATATCCATTTCATAAAATACATCAAAATACAACCTGATTTACTACATAAACACATATGTATATACAACATAGAGGTAGAACAATTAGTAAATTCGACTACGGAACGTAACAACCACCAATTTCCTGCCCATTCGAATTTAAACTCTAACAGAATCCAAACTAACATCAATTTTCTTTATTCCAGGTACATTTTCCTGGCGATCTACACGGCGGAGATGATAATTAAGTGTATAGCTAAGGGTTTCATATTAAATAAGTACACATACCTACGGAATCCGTGGAATTGGTTGGATTTCGTCGTCATCACGTCAGGGTACGCCACCATCGGCATGGAGGTGGGCAACCTGGCTGGTCTGCGGACCTTTAGAGTGCTAAGAGCATTGAAGACTGTTTCTATAATGCCGGGTAAGTTAAATTTTAAAATATATTTTTTGTTTTACTGCCTCGTTGGCCGAGTGGTCGCGAATGCGACTGCCGGGCAAGGGGTCTCGGGTTCGATTCCCGGGTCGGGCAAAGTATTACTGGGTTTAAAAAAAAAAAAAATTCTCAGTGGTAGCACGGAGTCTGGAAATGTGCCCGGTATATGGCAATAGGCTCACCCCCTATTACATGGGACTCATAACATATATAGTGAAAAGTGGGTGTTACTTCTGTGTGCACCTCTGCCTACCCCTACGGGGATAAAAGGCGTGATGTTATGTTATGTTATTTTTTGTTTTATCTAGATAATTTAGATCAAGGTTAAATGATTTTTTGCCACAGACTATATTAAAATTTTACTGAATTATAAACGTCAGATTTATACATTATGCCTAAGTGCATCGTTGACCAAAGCACGACTCCTTTAATTATTTGGAAAGTGATTTCATATCTAAGACTTTCCCAGTCGCTCAATGTAAATTTAATTAATGAGAATCCACAAAAAGCTTTCCGGTATTAACCATTTAGCTTAGCGTGTTTTTCTTGGCTATATACAAACAAACAAAATTCTTAAACTAAACTTCTTCCCCTTCTGACACGGGGAATCTTCCTAAACAAACGAGGGAGTGAGACAAAGTATACTCCTTTTATAAGAGTGAGGGAGACAACACGAGGACATCGAAGACTGTTATTTAATGAGTCATTAAACCTTATCTTACTTATTAAGGGTCTCAACGGCAAACTTCAAGATTGGGATCAAAAGACAGTTAATGAAGATGTGGCCCAACAGAGATTTTTTCTTAAAAAAAATAAGGCTTTACACTTCATACTTATTAAGAGGGCATCTAAGTAGTTTTTTCTTCTTCTTCTTGAGTAGCAACCGAGATTTAGATAGATAATGGTGATTATAAAGTGCCCATGAGAAAGCTCAATAATGAACATACAATATTGTGCCACAGAAGATACAAACATCAAACATAAATATCACACATAATATACAAACATGAAGCAGCTGTGAACATAATTGTCTAGTGATTATTAAATTATCACAAATTGAAAGCAAAATCTAAAAATCCCAATATAATGTCTGTGTAGGACTATTTGTTATGATCGAAAGTTGACGAGCTAATCAACTGAGCAGAAAAAAATATTATAGCATTATACGTGAATAAACATGTACGGCCTCCTCTCTATTCGTATTAAATTATTTTCACATGATATTTAATTAAATGACGTTTTTCTTCCATCAGGTCTAAAAACTATCATCAACGCGCTGCTGCACTCGTTCAAGCAGCTCGCAGAAGTAATGACGCTGACCATCTTCTGTCTGATGGTGTTCGCACTATTCGCACTGCAGGTCTACATGGGGGAACTCAGGAATAAATGCGTGAAGAACCTCGTCATTCCACCTGGAGAAAACTTCACTGATGAAGCGTGGTCAGCGTAAGTAGAAAATTTTATTATAATTTCTCGAAAAATACATGATTTTTTTATTTAAAAAGTAACAAAAAATATTATTATCATTGCCATACAAAAACAAACCAATCTTAAAAACAAACAAAATAAAATAGAAGTATAAAGCCACAGAGGTTAGAATAACTTCCATTTTCAAAATACTGGCTGCTATGAAAACGACTTCTATTTATGAAATATATTTTTTTCTTACTTTCATCACGTTTTCATTTGTAGTTAAATTTAATACGCCATTTTATCATTAATTAAAAGAAAAATGTAGGAATTCAGAAACAAAATTATCTTATTTATAGGTAAGTTGCAAACACTTGTTTTCGTTGTATCAAATTGAATATTCACCCATCTAAAACCGTTATTTCCCGCGCAAACTGCACAAAACTAAAACCAACTTCTAAAACTTTGTTAGTTAAAGTGTAACCAAGCCACATAAATAATTTCCAGTCCAATGAACTTTAAACAACGGTTTATCTTCCCGCCAACTTTCCGAGATCAATTGCTGTAAAAACGATAATCGCCATTTTGAATTATGAGTTATTCTGAGAAGCATGTAATCAAGGGACTTTCGTGTTTAGTTGTTCAAGTGTTTTAAGTGGACTTTGTGAAGTCTGTACACAGTAAAGCACAGATATTTCTGTTTATTATTTAGTTACAATAAATACCGTAGTAGATTATAATTATTGCGGAAAATAAGAGAAGACGAACCAAAAATTCAATTGTCTAGGTAGGTAGGTATTTCGTCAAAAACAGCAATACTTATATCTGTTGTAGCTAAGGTATAATATTAATTTGAAAATATTTGAGTTTTTTCTAAATATTCAACTAACGGCTGTGTTTTTTAAACTACGTAGTACTTAGATATTATATTTTTTGTAATGAATTTGAACTCGATGTGTTTAGCAAAATATTTTTCTAACACCTCTCCTGTATGGTTCAGTGCTTAAATTCATACAAAGTCAATCCTATCCCACAGGTGGATTCAAGAGCCATCAAACTGGATGGTGAATGCGGAGGAGGTGCCTATAATCTGTGGCAACCTGACAGGGGCCCGGCATTGCCCCCCAGAGTGGACCTGTCTCTGTGTGGGCCCCAACCCTAACCATGGGTACACCAACTTCGACAACTTCCTATGGTCCATGCTCACCACATTCCAGCTTATCACCCTCGATTATTGGGAGAATGTATATAATATGGTGAGTTTTGTTATTTATCTAATATTTATCTTTAGTTGTAACGAAATTGAGTTTTCTTTGCAACTAATCTAACATTTTTAGCGGCAGTGTGAGAGAATCCCTAGGGTGAAATCGTTATCATCAACAGTTCAGATATTTGAAAGTCGTTTAAAACAGATGTATTTTTCACTAACTGTTCATTCGTCCGCGTTGAATAAGTATGAATTTTACAACATAACTTCTTTTATGTTTCAATTTTCCAAAAAAAAAGTAGCCTGTGTTACTCCTTAGTACATCAGCTACCTGCCAATAGAAGTCTGGTAAAATCGGTCCAACCGTTCCAGAGATTAGCTAGTACAGACAGACAGACCGACAAAAATTGTAAAATGTTTAATTTTGGTATGTGTATCGTATGTATATTCATATGCATGTGAGTCGCGGAGAACCTAACGGGTTGCTGGGGCTCTGGCTCGAAGTGCAGGAGTAGGAACGGGGTGGTTTTTAGTCAGTAAGAGTCTGACACTCCCTCCGGCCTCACCCAGGCGGGAGCAGGCATTCGATGATATTCCCCCCTTAAAAAAATCATATGCATGTAGTTAAAAGGCGGTTATTTTAATATTACAAACAGACACTCCAGTTTTATTTATCTGTATAGGTTTGTAGCAGAAATAGTTTATAGATGCGACTACCACTGAAACCATGCCGAAAGATATAATAGGTCACCATAATTACTAGTAGACACATCCACTGATTAACATATTTACAAAGATAACACAGTCACCACGTTATCTAAATAGCTATAGGTAATATCTAAATACTATAAACCTAGTTATAACAATAAGGCTATTATTATCAGATTACTTAATCGATAGTTGCAGACTGCCTCAATAGCCGAGTGGTCGCGACTGCCGGGCACTACTCGGGCAAAGTACCTATTACTAGGTTTTTTACATAATTCTCAGTAATAGCACGGAGTCTGGAATTGTGCCCGGTATATAAGCACACCCTCTATTACATAACATAAATAATGTAAAGTGGGTGTTACATTGTACAGTGACATTAAGTGTTGTAATGTGCACCTCTGCCTTACCCTTCGGGGATAAAAGGCGTGATGTTATGTTAATCGATAATTACTTATGTCTTAGTAGTTTTTAATGACACAACGATTTATATTTACGCTTAAACTGACTTTAACCCACTAGATTTTCAGAGCTGGTATAACATGGAAGCTATATAATGTTGACTGCACGGTTGTACGTGGTGGCTAGGCAACGTGCTACGGGTTCGATTCCCGAACGGAACAACTTTTTATGTGATCCACAGACTTTTGGTTCCGAGGCTGGGTGTCATATGTATGTACACATCTGTTTGTCACGACACAGGAAAAAATACAATAGTAGGGCAACGTTTTTAAAAAAAAAAACAAAAGTAAGATTATAATTAATAATAATACTGTCATTCACAACCACACATAAACAAACGAATGTTACCCACAAACATTGTAATGAACCCAAACAAAAAACACAAAAGTTAGTTCATCAAGCATGCACCTAACTAACCCTTAACCGCTTCAACGATTTTGAGGTCCCAGAATTTTATTACAAAGGGTCTACCAGACCCAAATGAAGTTTAGGTGAGTTGGGGGTATGGGTGTAATGCGAGTCCCGTTTGCCGTTCCTTAATTAATTCTCAGGGAACCGCTTTGAGATGGCCGTGCGACTGAAATGCTTTCAAACGTTTCTATGACGTCATTAGAATGTAATTGCAAAATGTATTAGTGAGTTAGATTTGTGGGAGTGTTGTAAATGTCGAATGTCTTTTTGAAATGTTAATGATGAGATATAGATTAAATTAAATAAATTGAAAATATTTACTATCTTCGCTATTTTGTTTACCAATTATTCAATTCTAAATAGGAATTATAGATATTGTGGTATACGAAAACCCTTGTTAGAAATCTTCCTCTTCTATAATCTCGTAAACGGACACTACGGCTTACGTAGATTTTCGAGGCGAGTGCTCGACTAATTTTAAGTCAAGTCGGGTGATATATGTATAACAAATTTTTCGAACAATTACAGTATAAATATAAAAAAGTTAAACAACTTCATATTAACAACTAGCTGTTGCCCCCGACTACGTCCGCGTAGATTATTCCTGTTTTAATTATCTCATTGGAGCATTTAATCTGGATAAAAATTTAAGTAATGTATCACCTAAGTCAGCCCATACCCTGCCTGTTTACCAAATTTCATTAAAATCCGTTCAGTAGTTTTAGCGTGATTGACGGACAAACGTACAAACAAAAAAAGTTTTATACTTATAATAACATAACATATCATCACGCTTTTTTATCCCCGAAGGGGTAGACAGAGGTGCACATTACGACACTTAATGCCACTTTACAAT